ATATATACGACAAGGTTATAAAGGAGAAATGCAATGAACACTGCGATAAGCCCAAACACTACAACTGACATTATCCGATACACAGCACCCCAGTGCTACGACAAATGTGTTGCGTACTGCACAAACACGATGCTGATCTAATGCAGATAGCCAATCAACTTAAACGTGCACAACATCCAAGTCGAAGTGAAAGTATAGCAGATGACTATAGAACACAGCAACAGACGGTACGCGATTTGAAACCCCGCCGTAACAAGTACCATCAAAACATCCAATCAGTATACAGAAGAACGAATGATATTGCTTACCTGAGAGTTGAGTAACGAAAGCATCAGGAACACGAACGACGGCAAGGATAGGTAGAACGCAACAGCACCGAAACCCAGACAAGCGATCCAATTAGCGATTAAGAACCTGCGAGGTAAGGAGGAGGGATTAGTATTCATACATAATTGGTGCTAAACCAGTGTGAGGATATGCGATGGTTTACAAGGCATAGAGTACGAAGTAGGATGGTTTACAAGGTATAGAGTACGAAGTTGGATGGTTTACAAGGCATAGAGTATGAAGTAGGATGGTTTACAAGGCATAGAGTACGAAGTAGAATGGTTTACAAGGTATAGAAAACGAAGTAGGATGGTTAACAAGGTATAGAGTACGAAGAAGGATGGTGAAATATACATACAACTGCGAGATTCAGGATCATGAGAACGTAACGAGGAGTGGGGCGGGCTATCCAATCTAGCCATAGCTAACACGGCCAAAATAAGGCTAATGGGCAGCTAGGGGGTGTTTTGTTATAAGTTGAACAGCACACAGTGTTGTCTATTGAAGGTAGAAATGATATTTATACTCCGATATATTGAGCACCAATCACACAGCTGACTCTAACAGACCGTACAAAGACTGCCTTAAACGCCTGCAACTTGAGCATAAATGCGTGGCAAATGTATCATATGCCCTATAGCTGTAATGGCCAGGATTAGCAACTAGGACTAGCCTATTGTGCGTGAACAATATAGATATCATCCCCAGTGATGTAAGCAGACAAATGTTGCGTATGGCTTTACCACACTGTGGCTGAACTTACGCTGACAACATAACATAGGTATAAAACTTCGTTTTGAAGTTGCGCATTTGCAGCGAGACACTACTAAAACAGCGGACAAAGAGTCGATAGAACAATAGTACTATACAATATATACCAACTTGCAAATAGGACACTGGCATAATAAAAGCTTAACGAGCACTCGAAACCCTGAACAACGCATATCACCATATCGCGATACAGACCCTAGCACTACAACAACAATAACCTGCCATACGACAGTAGATACCAATACCAAGACAACCCAGCACAAGAAACGCCGCCATTGTAAAAAATATGTGCTAACAATATAAAGCAAATTGTACATACTTGTCAGTGCGCACGGGCAGTTTCATTAGACTTCTCGCAGGGAGGATGAGCATGTTGAAAAACAGCCAACAACCCTTCAAGAAACTGCTGTTTCCCACGAACTCCACTTCGAAGTTGGTAGGTACATCCACATCGAAGTGTTCACTTCCTAAATTCATGTGGTGGGCACCGTGGTGCTGTTTAAATATTTCGCTGATAGGCACACACATGACCATGTTGGTGATAATTGACAGGATGCGGTTGTATGCCGGGGTCTTCCACACAAGGAAGTGTGTTGCCTCGTGAATGAACACAAGCACAGCAGCGTTAAGATATGGCCCGGGTCCGAATCCAAATACAATAGCGAGCATATACGAGTTCCTACATAGATACGCCAAAGTGAGCATCACGGCAATAACGGCGTACGCATAGTACGCAGTCCTGGGCTCATTTCCGTAGAGCTTCTTGACCTCAGGGAACTCTTTGAGAATAGCCCTCTTTCGCTCCTGATGTATCTCGTAATCCAGTTTGGGCTTAGTACCGTCTACCTCGGCGAAACGCTGTTGATGTCTTTGCTCAGCAAGTGTAAGTGTGACTTTCTTAGGGTCCGTCTGGACAGTTTCTGAAACCTGACACATGATGTGTGACTGTAAGAATACGCGGAATTAGCACTGAAGTCGTTGCCACGGTAGTGTTACTGTCCGAATAGACTTGGTTGGGGTGGAGTATATATTGATATCAATAGTGATCACTCCGTCACACAATGCGATATGTACATGTGTGATTTAGTACACTACCAGTAGTTCGGTGTTCTACAACTCTGTGTGGCTGTGGCCTGGGAGGCTGAGGGTGACTGGTGCGAATTGAGATGAACACTAACGTTCGATTTGTTCTGTGCAATCCAATTTGAAAGGCGTAGTCCAAAACTCATTACGTTAGAGTATTTTAGTGTATACGTGAAGCGTAAATGCATCCAATTTAAATATAAGCATTCTGATATAAGTGGGGCAGCTAACCTATTATAAAATTTATCGGACTATATAATGCAATAGCTCTTATAAATTGCGCCTCATAGCCCAGTTATTGCACCCTTATGAACGTACAGAACCAAGAAGGTTGAGCATAAACGTGAAAGTAATGATTTATATACATTATAACGTAAAACGTAATGAGGCCAGGCGTTCTGTATAGAGTATAGACACAGTTTCAACGGCACTCAGTCTCAAGTCTACTCTCCAGTCTCAGGCCTCAGCTAGGCACAAAATGATGACTCATCCATTGATTGGTACAAGAGCGATGCATGGACCATGGCCGCAGTCCGGCTACTCCTTGCGGTCTACGGTGCTGCGCACACATTTCTCAATTCTCATCACCTCCCACTTATTATTTTATTACACAACAACAAGCCAGCCTGTAATAAATAATTATAAAGGAGCCACATTGTGCATAGCCTTCTTACTATTTTCACAAAGTCTCTTTCAAGGACTCCTCCAGTCCTCTCATTGACCTCACTCGAGAAACTCGACAGTCGACACTCGACAGTCGCCACTCGACAGTCGCCACTCGACAGTCGACACTCCAAGTCTCCATCGTCAAGCCTTAGTATGATTCAGAACTTCAGAAGGCTACATCCGCAAAAAAATTGAAAACTACGTTCAATTGTCCTTGCCCAGCATTCTACAATAATGATAATACTTCTTCTTTTTTTTTTAAACAAAATTACATATTGTGAATATCCGAGACTTCCGAGAGAGTGACCGACTCTCCGTTAAAAAAATACATAGCTTCAAGAATCAAGCATAGTCGCACCATACTACTAGTAGTAGAGAGAGTAAAGAGTGGACATATAAATACATATAAAATATAAAATTACATTTACTATCCAAATCCAATTCTCCAATTCTCCAATTCTCCAATTCTCCAACAAAAAAAAAAATTTACAATTATTATCCAAATTTCTCTCTCTCTGTGTCTCTCTCTATCTCTCTCTGTCTCTCTGTCTCTGTCTCTCTGTCTCTGTCTCTCTCTCTCTGTGTGTGTCTCTCTCTGTGTGTGTGTGTCTCTCTCTGTGTGTGTGTGTCTCTCTCTGTGTTTCTGCTCTCTCTCTCTCTCTCTCTCTCTCTCTCTCTCGTCTGTCTCTCTCTCTGTCTGTCTCTCTCTGTCTCTCTCTCTGTCTCTCTCTGTCTCTCTCTCTGTCTCTCTCTGTGTGTCTGTCTGTCTCTCTCACCGTCTCTCTCTCTGTCTCTCTGTCTCTCTGTCTCTCTGTCTCTCTGTCTCTCTCTCACACACACACACACTTCTAAATGAGACCAGAGACTAGAGGGGCAGAGACCCTAACGTAAACCCTGTCTCATTTTTAGAAGGCTATGAGAAGTGCTTGGATGTTCATTTAGAAGGCTATGAGAAGTGAGCTTGGAACTAAAAGGCAGATATTTAGCTCGGAGCCTGTCTGGCCCTCTGTGACTGTTGTAACTTGTATGAGCTGTAAAGCTGTGAGGTGTGGTATGTGTCCTCTGCCCATCTCTCTCTCTATGGAGCGAGCGACTTTGAGGCTCTCCCGCTTCCCGGCTTGTGACTTGTGAGTCGTGAGAGATGTACGACTTGGGATAATAATCATAATATAAATATGTAGTTCAGCGCCTTTTCGTTGATAAAATACGCCAATCATTTGTCTTGGACTTCGAGCTTGTAGTGGTATCTGCGATACTCGTACGTAGGGCTTGTATTGAACCTCACGATTCGAAATCAAATCCGAACTCGAAATCGCCGCCTTTGCGGTTCGGTCTTGGCTGTTACTAGTGTGGACTGCTCATAATATTGGAATAGAACTCTGAGCTGCCTGTCTTGTACCGGCGTGGTTCAATTTTCTGATATTGTTGATTCTTGAAAGGAGCTCTGAAGTGGTCGACTCCACTTCAACACGATACATATTCGTATTGTGATGCAAACGCTTCACTGATTTATCAAAAGCGCGTGTAGCTTGTAGTCCTCTGATTTCTCCATGAGTTGATACCTATAAGGGGTCTTCAGTGTTATTCCAGAGTCAATCGGTAGTATTATATGTCTGGTAACATTCGACTGCGAGATGAAACTTTGTACGATGTGTCAGGCTAGACTGTAATTTTCATAGAGACTAGTTCCGCGTATGATTCCAGGATCGAAATTGCATGTTAAGCATGTAATCTGTATGCGATCTTTGTTACCTCTTGGCACCTTACATTTCCACCACATCACCACGCTGCAACAACATGACTCAAATTTGAGGACACGGATTTTAAAAATGGCGTAGAGTTACAGAGTAGGCTGTCTCGACTTCTGATAGCACCATTTTTTAGAACATATATATATGTATATTATATGTTTTGTAATAGTAAAAAAGTATATATATATCTATATATCTATATATCTCTCT